AATCAAATTCTTTGAAACAAAGTGCAACTAGACTCAGCCAACAAAGTGGTATGCAAATGTCCATTTCTTGATATAAAACAAGGAATGTCTTTATATAGTTACCATACATAGCAAGCTATTTTCATTACAGAAAAATCAAATACCATGCAAGCGCAGTGTAAAAAAAAAGAAAACAAAAAAAATTAATTTCCATTTATTATCCACTTGTTTGCGTATAATGACACCATTTCTCAGTTATCACAACGTAGTGTATGAGCAAATATTTGAAGCCAATAAATGACCAAAGAAAATTATTTAGATGCGTATTGCACAATGCTTTGAATTTCCCCTTGATGATACCAATTTTAGGTCAATGTTTTTGTCCTGATATGCTTCCTGATAGCTAGTTCTTTAATATGATTGTATCTGTGGCATCTAGTGGACTATTATTAAACATAAACCGTTACTTTAAGTGGGCTACCATCCCTCATTTTTCCATGGTATCTGGTGGGTTAACATATTCTAAATTTCCTGCTATTTTACCATTTTATTTCCTGGCTTTTACAGGATAAAGCCATTTAATTTTCTATTTTCTAGAGAATTAATGTTTAGATGCCTTGAACTGAGTAGCTAATTTTCTTCCTCATCTCCAGCACTTGTTTATCCTCCTTTAATAATGCCTGATGAACCATAGACCTTTCAGGGTTCCATTTTACAGAAAGATATGTAGTGACAGCATATAAAGCAGCAAGTTACAAGTGTGTAAATGTTGTTACCATAACTGGCTTTGGTTACAGCAGGATGATACATGCAGAGAGTAATGTATACTGTACAAGTGCAAAGCAAGAATATGTTAATTTCCTTGCAGAAAATATTGATATGTATAGCCAGTGTGCCTAACCCCTACTTGTATAGTGGATGTAACAGAACCTTTCTCTTAGTCATATAATTCTTTATTAAGCAGTTTCTTACCTAGGAGTGGTTAGAATGGTTGTATAATGACTGAAAGTAGTAATTTAACGATTGTGTATTTTGTTTTCTGTCCAGAAGTTCAGATATGCATTGGGATAGAATGATCTTTTATTTTTGGTCCTGAGTTCAGGTGGCCAAATCTTTCATTGGATAGACAGTGGGAGTGTTGTCCTACTTTTGTACCTATATCGGAACATGTTCAACATTTAAATTCAGTGAATGGTTTTAAATAAAAGTATCTTTAATTTACAATTGCCCACCCCAGAGACTGTCAACAAATGAGTCCTAGAAGTAAGATTTTTTTTTTTTTCTTTCAAAAAAATTTTAATTTGCAATTCAGAAAAGTTTTCATTAATCTGTAATATGATTAATTGTGTTTTACCTTACTGTTAGTATAGATTCATAATATGAATGAAAATGAATTTTAAAGCATGCATACAGTTTTCAGCAAAAAAAGATTGCTAGAAAATCTGTGTGTGTATATATATATATATATATATATATATATATATATATATATATACACACACCTCAAAAAATTAAAGGAACACTTTGACAAAACACCTCAGATTTCAATGGGGAAAAATATCATGGTGGATATCTATACTGGTATGGACTGGGTAATGTGTTAGGAATGTAAGGATGCCCCATTCTTTGATGGAAATGAGAATTATCAACCTACAGAGGAATTAATTCAAAGACACCCCAAAAATCAAAGTGAAAAAATGATGCAGCAGGTTAGTCCATTTTGCTGAAATTTCATAGCAGCAACTCAGAATGGTACTCAGTAGATTGTATGGCCCCCACGTACTTGTATGCATTCCTAACAATGTTGTGGCATTCTCCTAATGGGATGACAAATGGTGTCCTGGGGTATTTCCTCTCAGATCTAGACTAGGGCATCACTGACCTCCTGGACAGTCTGTGGTGCAATCTGGCAGCATCGGATGGACCGAAACATGATATTCCAGAGAAGTTTTATTGGATTTAGGTCAAGTGAGTGTAGGGGCTTTTCAATGGTATCAATTCCTTCATCCTCCAGGAACTACCTTCATACTCTCGCCACATGAGGCCGGGCATTTTCGTGCACCAGGAGGAACCCAGGACCCACTGCACCAGTGTAGGGTCTGACAATGGGTACAAGGATTTAATCCTGATACCTAATGGCAGTCAGGGTGCTATTATCCAGCCTGTAGAGGTCTGTGCGTCCCTCCATGGATATCTCTACCTAGATCATCACTAACTTACCACCAAAATGGTCATGCTGAATGATGTTAAAGGTAGCATAACATTCTCCATGGCTCCTCCAGACCCTTTAACGTCTGTCACATATACTCAGGGTAAACCTACTCTCATCTGTGAAAAGCACAGGGTGCCAGTGGCAGACCTACCAATTCTGGTGTTCAATGGCAAATGCCAATTGAGCTCTATGGTGCCAGGCAGTGAGCACAGGGCCTACTAGAGGACGTTGGGCCCTCAGGCCATCCTCATGAAATCTGTTTCTGATTGTTTGGTCAGAGACATTCACACCAGTGGAGGTCATTTTGTAGAGCTCTGGTAATGCTCATCCTGTTCCTCCTTTGCACAAAGGAGCAGATACTGGTCCTGCTGATGGGTTAAGGACCTTCTATGGTCCTGTCCAGCTCTCCTACAGCCTGTCCCCTGGAATCTCCTCCATGCTCTTGATACTATGCTGGGAGACACAGCAAACTGATTAAAAAACCCCCTCTGATACTTAACTGACCATATCAGTATCCCAGGAGTTTAAATAACTTGATGCTATACTCTGATTAAAAAGTGTTCCTTTAATTCTTTTTGAGCAGTGTATATTGCAGGGATTCCCTGAAGAACAGTTGGGTGGAGCTTACCTTTGACATCCTTGTGTACTCCGAACACTCAGCAGCACCACATTTTTAGTGTAAATGCCTGTCTATGTCTCCCTTTGTGAGTATAAGCACTGATAAAAAAAATCAATGCAATCTGTGATGCTGAGCCATGGAGTTTTTTATGTGGTTATTTTGACTTATACCAGCGTGGTGATTTTGTTGATGGTCCACTGGAGTTTTTGCAAAATTGCTGTAGCCATTACTTGCTGTAGCTTTCTGACTGCCATCTGTATGAATGGTTAGTGAAGGGTTGAAGATGATAGCCCAATGAGAGATTGCTTGGATTGAGCCACCACTTGAGTTATCAGCTGAGGCAGGATCATGCCCTGGAATAGCTAATTATGATACATCTGGTAAGGGAAATGAAATTAAAATTCTCTTCATCACTACCTGGCCCTTGGAACCTCCTGAATAGTAGATAATGGCAGGCTAAGAAACAGCATGAACCCTCTTGCTGTTAGAGAATCTCCGATCATCCCCTAGATTTCCCCCTAGATTCAAGAATCTTGCACTGTGGAAAAAAAACTCCTAGAAATTCCAGTGCTTGAGTTGAATGAAAATTACTTTTATGTGCACTGATGAGCCAGCCAAAGTCAGATAAGATTTCACATGCAAGAGACAGGTGAGCAATTACCATCTCTCTCTTAAACCTTCCAGGTAATGGATGATCTGTACTCTCTTGGCACTTATAAGCACAATGATACAATGACTGTTGAAAATATTTCTGAGGTTTTTGGGGACTGTTCATAGCCCAAACAGAAGGGATTGAAATTGAAAATGAGCATGCCAACCACAAATCTGAGGAAGCATTAATGAGCTAGATTCACAAGAACATGCAAATATGAACCTGACAGGGCCAACAATTCTTCCTTTTTTGCTACTGAATTATGTTTTCTAAGGATTCTGTCTTGAATGTATCTATGAAGAAATTTACAATCTTAAGACCTAAGGCTGATCTAATGCCTTCTTCTACAAGAAACAACAAGGAATATATTCCTGTACCCCTTTTCTGAACAAGTGGATGGTTGGTTGTGACACTTGCAATTCTTTTATATCAGTCTGTAAGTAGGTACACGTCTCTTGAGAAACTTGACATTGTGTCTCTATAAAGTAAGCTTGTGGTGGTCACTTGATGAAATTCAGCTAGTAACCTATGTCAGTCACATCCAGAATGTATTTGTCGGACACTATCTCTGTTGAGACCTCACCCAAAATAAGCTAACCCTGCCCCCACTGATGGAACAAGAAAGGGTACACCTTCATATAGCCTGCCTGTATACGTTTGCTTCTCTAAATTCATGTCTAGTGCTTTTGTTTGAACAACAACGCTGTCACTAATGAATTCAGAATTAAATCTGATTTACCAACTGAAACCCTGTGAATGACATCCTTCAGGGTTTTACCAAACAGAAACTTCACTGAAAAGGAAGTGAACAAAAACATGTTTAAACCATAAACCATAGTATCTTTAAAAGATACAGAGACCTCCAATGGCAAGATGATATGATGAGCTAGTCTCTGCAATGAAGCATTCAACGTCAGTAGTGCTTCCCAAACTACCACATCTTTGTCAAATATGATACAATATAGAAAGTGCAGAAACTTCTTTAACCACTTCCTGTCTGGACACTTTTACCCCCTTCCTGTCCAGGGTAATTTTCAGCTTTCAGCGCTATCACACTTTGACTGACAATTGCGCGGTCATGCAATACTTTACCCATATGAATTTTTTGCAATTTTTTTGAGATAGATAAAGCTTTATTTTGGTGGTATTTATTCACCACTGGGATTTTTATTTTTTTTGCTATGTAAATGAAAATGTCCAAAAATTTTGAAAAAAAGTGTTTTATTTGCAAATAAATAATATTTTATCATAAATCTTGGTCAAAATTTATTCCGTTATTTTTTTAGTAAAAAAAAAAAATCCAAATTAGTTTATAACCAAAAATTATAATTTAAAACATTTTTTTTTACATTTTTATTTTATTTTTTTATATTATTTTTTATTTTTTTTTTACATACTGTCACCCTAGCAGTACAGTGTCACTATATAGGATGTAAAAGCAATCATTTCTCTTTCTCTCTGTCTGCATTCTTGCACTCATTGAGAAGTACTGAGTGAGCTGTGATTGGTCACAGCTTGTCACATGGTACAAGACTGTTGTGAATAGCCTTCTACCATGTGACCTCTGTGATCATTCACAGATTTCACACGTAGTAAGCAATGATGTCACAAGTGACATCTTGCTTATTACTTTGCATGTGATCGCTGATTGGCCAATCAGTGATCACATGATCGGGACCTCGTACAGAGGTCCCGTCCGATGATCGTTGTTTCACTGTGTCCGGAGGACACAGAGGGCACTGGATCGCGCGCACAGCTAAAAAAGGCGGGTGCCGTTTGTGAACGGCAACCCGCCCCTGGACTGCCACCGCCCTGCTGTTTATAAACAGCAGGCAGACGGCAAGTTATTAACCTCTTCCCGCCCGGCCTATGGCCAAATGGCGGCCGGCAAAATCCCTCACCTTTCCGGGTGGACGCCATATGGCGTCCTTTTGGGCATGCACAGTTTTCACGCCTGCAGAGCCGCGCAGCGGCACGATCTGTCACCGGCCATGTACCTCGGACACGGGCGATGACAGATCTGAGTACCGGCCCTGTTTCCGGTACCATGTGACCTGCTGTGACCAATCACAGCAGGTCACATGACAGTTGTATACAATGGATGGCTTCATTGGTGCCATCCATTGTATACTAGTGTATCTAGCTGTGAATGGTCACAGAGACCACATGCACAAGCTGGGCCAATCACAGCCCAGCTGTGTTATGTGATTAGCCGTGGCCAAATCATAGCTAAGCACAAAAAAAAAAAAAACCTGAATGAATCGATGTCATTCAGGTAAATGCTTGCTTATAGCAAAGTAATTCTTTGCTATAAGAAAATTGTGTAAAAAAAAAAAAAATACTGATCACTTCCCCAAAGTAGTACAATGTTACCATGAAAATCATTTTTTTAATTTTTTAATTTTCCGAAAAATTATGACAAAAAAAATACAACTTCAGAAAACTCGCCATGCCTCTTAAGAAGTACGTCGGACTGTCTACTCTGCAAAAAGGAGTCATTTGGGGGATATCTGTAGTGTTCTGACATTCTTGGACCTCAAGAAATTAGATTGGCTGTCAGTACTTCAGGATTGATCAATATTCAGATCTATACCATAGTTTGTGAACTCTATAACTTTCCTACAAACTAAAAAATACATCCTAATTTGGGTTATTTTCACCAAAGACATGTAGCAGAATACATCTCGGCCTAAATTTATGAAGAACAATTATTTATTTGTAAACTTTTATAACAGAAACAAAGAAAAATGTGTTTTGTTTTTTTTTAATTTTCGGTCTTTTTTTGTTAATTTAGCAAAAAATAAAAACCCCGGCAGTGATTAAATACCACCAAAAGAAAGCTCTAGTTGTGTGAAGAAAATAACATTTTAGTTTGGGTACAATGTTGTATGACCGCGCAATTGTCATTCAAAGTGTGAGAGAGCTGAAACCTGAAAATTGGCCTGGACAGGAACGGGGTAAAAGTGCCCGGTATTGAAGAGGTTAAAGACCAGGATACTACCTCCTCAATTTTCTTTGCAGTGAAACTTCCTCCTGCAGCTTGATGGCTTCTTTTACTACTGTCACTATAGAGGTATCTTGTGTGAATTCAAAGCAACGTATTTCTGGTACTGAATCTGGATCTGAAGATTGGTCTTCTTTACTGACATTCAGGTGCCACCCATGTTTAGAAGAAATAGAATATGATGCCTCATCTGATGAAACTTCATTTGAGTCTTAGCCTTCATGGCTTCCTTCTTTGACATTTTATGAATGCCATCAGCTCTGCCTCTCTGTTATAGGTTTTATCCTTTTTTTTCATCATCCCTGTAGAGGAAACTCTCTGTGAGAAATCACTTTCAGAGTAGCAGTGAGAAACGGCTGGAAAAGCGATGGTGTGAGCATGCCTCGAACTAACAGGAAGCAGCAGGAAGCTCTCTGAAACCAAGACTGTCAGTTCAACTTCTTCCCTCCTGGCCTATTGTACAATTGAAGGCCAAACTGGAACCCTATTATTCTGGGAGGATGTCATATAATGTCCTCCCAGGATCGTGCCTCATGTGTGCCCCATGGGCTGTGTACAAGGGACACGGCCAATGGCAGATCACTACACTGGCCTATTGCCAGTGTCACGTGATCGCTGTGACCAATCACAGAAGATCACATGACAGTTGTAAACGATGAATGGCTTCCTTTCATGCCATTCACTACTCACAACTGTGCTGCGAGCTGTGATTGGTCACAATCTCATGTACAGACTGGGCCAATTAAAGCCCATCTGTAGCATGTGATCAGTTATGGCCAATCACAGCTGATCACAAAAACTACTGAATTAATCAGTTTCATTCAGTAAAAATGCTTGCTTATACAAATGTAATTTGTTTGATATACCGTATTTTTCGCTCCATAAGACGCACCTGACCATAAGACGCACCTAGGTTTTAGAAGCAGAAAACAAGATAAAAAATATTCTGAACCAATGGACTGCAGACACAGTACAGGAGATGACCAGAGACTGCAGACATAGTACAGGAGATGACCAGAGACTGCGGACATAGTACAGGAGATGACCAGAGACTGCGGACATAGTACAGGAGATGACCAGAGACTACGGACACAGTACAGGAGATGACCAGAGACTGCGGACACAGTACAGGAGATGACCAGAGACTGCGGACACAGTACAGGAGATGGACCAGAGACAGCGGACACAGTACAGGAGATGGACCAGAGACAGCGGACACAGTACAGGAGATGATCAGAGACAGCGGACCGTACAGGAGATGACCAGAGTCTGCGGACAGTATAGGGGATGACCAGAGACTGCGGACAGTATAGGGGATGACCAAGACACTGCGGACAGTATAGGGGATGACCAAGACACTGCGGACATAGTACAGGGGATGACCACAGACTGAGGACAGTACAAGAGATGACCACAGACTGCGGACATAGTACAGGGGATGACCAGAGACTGAGGACAGTACAAGAGATGACCACAGACTGCGGACACTGCAGGAGATGACCACAGACTGCGGACACTGCAGGAGATGACCACAGACTGTGGACAGTACAGGAGATGACTGCTGACCTTTGGGGAGGGAGGGGGAGCGGGTACCTGAATTTGACAGGTACCCACTCTCACTTCCGCGGAGTTGTCCTCCCTTTAGTGTGGGCACCCGGCTTACAGCCGGTTGTCCAGTGTGCATGCACGAGAAGCGCTGCGCTTTGTGATTGGTCTGCCGTTTTCTGGGACCTGTCATGTGTCCCAGAAGACGCCGTACCATTCACAAAGTGCAGCTCGCGCATGTGTACTGGGCACCCGGCTGTCAAGCCAAGAGCCCACACTAAAGAAGCCAGAGCGGGAAGACTGCGTGGCGATAGAGCGAGGAACAGGTAAGGTCCTGCTGCAGAGCTGAGCAGCTGGCCCGGTATTCTGACACGGCGGTGGTGGAAATACCGGACCAGCAGCTCCATATTTGCTCCATAAGACGCACTGACATTTTCCCCCCTTTTTTGAGGGGAAAAAAGTGTGTCTTATGGAGCAAAAAATACGGTAAGTGATCATAATGTGTAAAAAAAAAAAAAAAAAAATCCTGATCACTTGCCCAGAGTAGTACGTTATTATGGTAACATTGTATTGCTCTGGTCACAGGAGTAGAAACAAATTGTAAAAGAAATGAAAAAAAAATGTAATACAAATTTTTTAATTTTTTTTATTTTTAATTATCTTTTTTTTTTTTTATGTCATGTTGCCAGTCAGTGTCCCTGTCACCACCACGCTATTTATATGATGATGCTGTACTGCATTGGTGACAGTATGTAAAAAAAAAAAGTGAAATATTTTTATTTCATTTCTTAATTTTCCACAAAATTATAACTTCAAAAATCTTGCCATACCTCTTACTAAATACCTCAGACTATTTTCTGAAAAGTGGTCATTTTGGGGGTATTTGTACTGTTCCACCATTTTTGGGCCTTAAGAAATGAAATAGGCCGTCAGTACATCAGGATTTATCAATTTTTAGATATATACCATGTGGAGTCTATAACTTTCCTGTCAACTAAATAAAAACACTGATTTGGGTTATTTTCACCAAAGCTGTAGCAGAATAAATTTTTGCTTAAATTTGTGTAGAAAGATTATTTATTTGCAAAATGTTATAACAGAAACAAAGAAAAAATACATTTTTTAAAACATGTTTGGTCTTTTTTCCTTTATAGTGCAAACAATAAAAAAAACGCAATGGTGATTAATTACCACCAAAAGAAATCTCTATTTGTGTGAAAAAAAACTATAAAAAATTTCATATGGGCACAATGTTGCATGACTGCACAATTGTCATTTAAAGTGCAACAGCACTGAAAGGTGAAAATTTGTCTGGGCATGAAGGGGGTAAAAGTGCTTGGTAAGCAATAGTGTTGGGCTGAATGTTCGAGTCAAACCTAAGTTTAACTCAAACATTTATTGTTTGTGTGTTTGCTGAACACATGAGCGATACGGGTGTTTGGCGGGCTGCTCACCCAACAAGCCCCACAATGCACTGTGCTCTGCCATGGCCCCCACAGGTCAGGTGCAATGCTTTGGCCAATGACAGCACAGTATGACATCACAAGGGGGTGGAGTGATGTCATGACAGCATTTAAGAACTGTCATCGCTGCGCAGCTGTCAGATGACAGGAGCCAGCATCACAAGTAGAGCTTTTTTTTGTTTCGGGTAGCGGCAGCGTTCATCGTGATTGACATTGGATCTACTTTGGGGGACATTTTTTAATTTTTATTTTTAATAAAGGACTTGTCAAAGACTGTCTCCTGTCTTTTTTAAACTACGCTTTTTTTGTGAATGGGTAGCAGTACCATGTACTGCATAATCATTCACATGGGGGGGCGGGATCTTGAGCCCCCCTTGTTAAAGGGGGTTTCCAGATTATGATAAGCCCCCCACCTGCAGACCCCCACAACCACAGCCCATAGTTGTGGGGAAGAGGTTCTTGTCCCCATCCACATGGGGACAAGGTGCTTTGGGGGGAACCCCACTGCCCCAAAGCACCCCCCATGTTAAGGGCATGTGGCATGCTATGGTTCAGGAGGGGGGGTGCTCACTGTACTGTCAAGTGGAACACTTCAATTGTTTGGAGCACGAGCACTTTTTGGCACTAATTCGGACAGTATGAAATAATGTTTCTTTGGGGCTGAATGTTCCCACTAGTTTTTATATGGTGTATATGGCACAAGGATTTATACATTGTGTGTATGTATGTGTATATATAAATATATATATATATATATATATATATATATATATATATATATATATATATACACACACAGGTGAAACTCGAAAAATTAGAATATTGTGCAAAAGTTCATTTATTTCAGTAATGCAACTTAAAAGGTGAAACTAATATATGAGATAGACTCATTACATGCAAAGCAAGATAGTTCAAGCCGTGATTTGTCATAATTGGGATGATTATGGCTTATAGCTCATGAAAACCCCAAATCCACAATCTCAGAAAATTAGAATATTGTGAAGAGGTGCAATATTCTAGGCTCAAAGTGTCCCACTCTAATCAGCTAATTAAGCCATAACACCTGCAAAGGGTTCCTGAGCCTTTAAATGGTCTCTCAGTCTTGTTCAGTAGCAATCACAATCATGGGAAAGACTGCCGACCTGACAGTTGTGCAGAAAACCATCATTGACACCCTCCATAAGGAGGGAAAGCCTCAAAAGGTAATTGCAAAAGAAGTTGGATGTTCCCAAAGTGCTGTATCGAAGCACATTAATAGAAAATTATGTGGAAGGGAAAAGGGTGCACAAGCAGCAGGGATGACCGCAGCCTGGAGAGGATTGTCAGGAAAAGACCATTCAAAAATGTTGGGGACTTTCACAAGGAGTGGACTGAGGCTGGAATCAGTGCGTCAAGAGCCACCACACACAGAAGGATCCTGTACATGGGCTTCAAATGTCGTATTCCTCTTGTCAAGCCGCTCCTGAACAACAAAAACGTCAGAAGCGTCTTACCTGGCTAAAGAAAAACAGACCTGGCCTGTTGCTCAGTGGTCCAAAGTCCTTTTTTCTGATGAGAGCAACTTTTGCATCTCATTTGGAAACCAAGAACCCAGAGTATGGAGGAAGAATGGAGAGGCACACACTGCAAGATGCTTGAAGTCCAGTGTGAAGTTTCCACAATCTGTGTTGATTTGGGGAGCCATGTCATCTGCTGGTGTTGGTCCACTGTGCTTCATTAAGTCCAGGGTCAACGCAGCTGTCTATGAGGAGATTTTGGAGCACTTCATGCTTCCTTCCGCAGACGAGCTTTATGGGGATGCTGACTTCATTTTCCAGCAGGACTTGGCACCTGCCCACACTGCCAAAAGCACCAAAACCTGGTTCAATGACCGTGGGATTACTGTGCTTGATCGGCCAGCAAACTCGCCTGACCTGAACCTCATAGAGAATCTATTGAGCATTTCCAAGAGAAAGATGAGAGACATGAGACCGAACAATGCAGAAGAGCTGAAGGCCGCTATGGAAGCATCCTGGTCTTCCATAACACCTCAGCAGTGCCACAGGCTGATAGCTTCCATGCCACGCTGCATTGAGGCAGTAATTGCTGCAAAAGGGGCCCAAACCAAGTACTGAGTACATATGCATGCTTATACTTTTCAGAGGTCCGATATTGTTCTATGTACAATCCTTGTTTTATTGATTGCATGTAATATTGAAATTTTCTGAGATTGTGGATTTGGGGTTTTCATGAGCTGTAAGCCATAATCATCACAATTATGACAAATCACGGCTTGAACTATCTTGCTTTGCATGTAATGAGTCTATCTCATATATTAGTTTCACCTTTTAAGTTGCATTACTGAAATAAATGAACTTTTGCACAATATTCAAATTTTTCGAGTTTCACCTGTATATGATGTGCACATAATAAGGTTATTGCACTAGTAGATACTACGTAATATAATATCTTTGGTGATATACAGTTAAAGTATTATTTATTCGAGAAAGATTGCAGCCACAAATGCCAGAAGAATTGTTTGAGACACAAAGAAAAATCCACACGTAACAGCAGGAGAAATACAGGAAACTCCGGCAAAAGACGGTGTGGTTGTTTTGAAGGAGCACAATACGACAATACTATAACAAAAATTATATATATATAAATATATATATATATATATATATAGTATTTACTGCATATTAAAACGACAAATAAATATATTATAAATATATATATATATATATATATATATATAGGTGGAAATTGCTAACAGTAGATTTCTTTTACAAAATCAACACAT